AGATGCATTTTATACTACGATCCACAGCCAGTAGAGTCTCCTTCAGAGTTATTTATATCTTTCCTGTCTAATTTGTATTCCGAACAGATGCTGTATTTTATTTTACTCCCTAGTTAATGCTCATGTACTTGTGACACCGGGTTTGGGAGTGGTTATGGGTTGTTCAGTATTTTAGTTGCGGAAATATCATCATTTACTCCGTTAAGTCCTATTTTTTACTATTTAATTGAAGGAAATTACGATTTGAAAATACAAAAATGAGCAATTAAGTTAATTAATTATCGTTGGCTTGCCTGGCAGCAGTGTTAGGCGCCATCATGACCTTTAAATGATTTTGAATCGTGATAGAAGTATTGAACGAGGTTCTAATCAATATGAGGTTTACTACCGATACCGAATTTGTTTTTGGGCAGCCATGGTGGTCAGCACTTACTGCTGTGAGTATCCGAGTGATGGGGTATATCATGTGATTACATCTTAGATTATGGTTATGGCTTGGCACCACTTGTTTAGACTTATACAGTGTGTAGATATGAGATTCAGGTCTTGTAATGAAATCTGGATGTTGGAGATTGGGTTCTAAGGTTTAAGGATCAAGGTTGAAGTAAGGATCTCTAGTTATGTTGTGTTGGAAAGCTTATATGGGGTGGGGTGATGTGGGATCACTCCCGGGTATGTGCATGGTAAGGTTACACCATAATTTGATGGCTTTGGAACGACTATTGGCACGTGCGAGGACGAACGTATGTTTAAGTGGGGGAGAATATAACAATCCGACTGGTCATTTTGAGCATTTGCACTCCGCTCGGCAGTTTGAGGGCACGAGTACCTCCGCATGATATATTATGACTTGTGTGAATCGTCGGTTTTGGTTTTCAAGTTACTCGGAATCGATTTGGAAGAATGAACTTCAGGATTTAAGCTCTAAGTTGGAAGAGTTGACCAAGTTTGACTTTTTAGCATTTGACCTCGGATTGGAATTTTGATGGTTCCGTTAGGTCCGGATGGTGATTTTGGACTCGGACGTGTGCCCGAATTTGCATTTGGATATTTCTAGAAGGATTTGGCGCGAGTTTTGGAAGTTGAAAGTTGAAAGTTCATTGATTTTGATTTGAGGTGCGATTCGTCATTTCGAGGTGGTTATACGTGAGTTAAAGGCTCGAGTAGGTCTGTTTTGTCATATGGAACTTGCCTGCAAAATTTGGCGTCATTTGGAGTTGATTTGATATGGATCAGACACTTGGTTGCGATTCTAGAAGTTCTTAAAGTTTGTTGTGATCCTCATGCGTTTTGGCATCCGGTTCGTGGTTTTAGAGGTTATTTTGATGTTTTGATCGCGCAAGAGAGTTCGTTTGTGTTTTTGGACTGGTGTGGGTGTTTGGTTTGGAGCCTTGGGGGCTCGGGTAAGTTTCGGATTGGTTTCAGAACTATTTTATATGATTTTGAGTGCTGGTACTAGTGTCATCGCATTTGTGATGTTTTTGTCGCAAATGCGACTATCACAATTGCGAAGTGGCCCTCGCATTTGTGAAACTAGGCTGCTGGGGAAAAAATAGCATTTGCGAAGAGTGGTTGTTCGCTTTTGCGAGGATTCCTGCCACTTTTGCAAGGCAGCTGTCGCATTTGCGAAGAATTGGGTAGCAAATGCGACCTTAGCATGAAGTCTCCTGGTTCGCTTTTGCGATGAATTGTTCGCTTTTGCGCATCTGCATTCTACATATAGCTGGGTAATTCTGAGACTTAGCCTCATTTTGTTATATTTTGAACCATAGCTTCGATGGGAGGCAATTTTGTGGAGGAATTTTCATACCAAACCATTGGGTAAGTACCTTAATCAATTTTCAATTATATTTTATGATTATACATTAGATTTAACATCAAATTCATGACAATCTAGGGAAAATTTGGGGATTTTGTCTAAGTTTTGAAAATAAAATAAAAATTAGGGATTTGAGAGTCGAATAAGACTCGAATTTGGAAACAAATCACGTATATGGACTCGTGGGGCTATGGGTAGTCAAGTCCTACCCTTGGACTCGGGTTTGGACCGGGCGAGCCCGGGGTTGACTTTTGTTGACGTTTTGGAAATTGTATAAAGGTCATAACTTTATTAATTGAAATTATTTTCTCTTGCATTGTTTGATGTATATAAGTCGTCTTTGGCTAGATTGGGCCGGGCGGAAGTGAATTTGTAAGGAATAAGCTAAATTGAGTATTTAGTTGGCCGAATTAAGGTAATTGTCTTGCCTAACTTTGTTGAGGGAATTTTTCCTACTTTTGACATTATTTGCTACGTGCGGGGGTGATACATATATGAGGTGACGAGCATATATACATGTTCCAGAGTTAATCATGCTCGGGGGTAGATTATGCTATAAATTGTGTCTTGTAGAACTATGTGACCTTCTTGCTTCATGTCCTACTTGACTTCTAGATCACTAAGAATATGGAATTAAATGTTAGAAACCAAGATTTAGTTTATTTTAACTTGATTAAAATTTGATGGAATGTGTAGGTGTCTAATTCGGTCATCACTATGCTTAACCACTAATACATTGCTACGACCGTTATTCTTGGGATATTAGATTCTATACTTGAGTTGTAGATTATTTTGAGATTTGTTGAAATACTTGCACAATAATGTTCTTGAGGGTTTATTGAACTATTGTTGGCTTGAAAGTCGTGATTGAAGTTCATTTGGAATATTTGTTTAACCACTCTCCTTGGTGTTATTTATGCTTCCTACCTTGTTTGTCATTGATGTACATATGCTTAGTGAGGAAGAGTGTAAAGCGCGAAGGGTGATGCCGTGCCATTGTATATATATATTCATGTGAGGGAGAGTGTAAAGCACGAAGGGTGATGTTGTATCATTTCATTTGAGAGTAAAAGCACGAAGGGTGATGCCGTGCCATTTCATTTGAGTGCAAAGCACGAAGGGTGATGCCTTGCTATTTTATTTGAGAGTAAAATCACGAAGGGTGATGTCGTGCCATTTTATTTATATTATCATGCTTTTATATTATCACGAGTTCATGGCATGATGGGTGTTTCCATGCAGTCAAGGACGAGGGACATGCATTACGCTATGATATCTTTTCCTTGTGTATACGTTCATGCCTTTACATTGAGCTGGCATTGTCGTACCTATGTTTCCTATGTGATTTGTCGTTATGGTCCTGTCTTTTGTTCTCTATCTCAATTGTTGTTGTGTTGCCCATGCCTTCTACTTGCTTGACTTGCAAATATCATGCCTAATTCCTACTGTTATATTTACATCCATGTCGTAACTATTTTGTTGCCCTTTAGCATAAGCCTTATACCATGTTATTCATTCATGCCTTTACTTGTTCGCTTATAAAGATCAAGCTCTTTCTTCTTGTATGTTATATTTACATCTAAGCTTTCCACCATGTTAGTTAGTGAAATTTATGTTCTTCTACCATACTTGCTGTCATTACTTTTGTGCCCTCTATCTCGTCTATTTCTATTTTCTATTTTCTATATGTTTCTGACTTGTTATTTGTTACTATGTGGGTACTCTCTACTTAGTGGACATTGATATTGTAAATTATTCTACCTGGTTAGTGCTGCTACATGCACATTTGGCAAGGATGAGATAATTGCATGAAGGGTGTTATCGTGCTAATTGATTTGACACATATTTATGTATATATGGTGAGGAAGAGATAAAAGCACGAAGGGTGTTACCGTGCCATTTGATTTGATATCTTGAGTATACTTCTCACACCAGGAAAATTATGAATTTACTTATGAGATTTCTCCTAGTAATCGCTTACTGCCTCGCATAGTTGTATATGGTATCCTTATCTGTTATGTTCTATAACTGATCCTACTATTAGTCTACTGCACATGTTATAACATTAAGTATCTTTTTAAATTAAAAATCCTCTCGCCACTACTTCGACGAGGTTAGACAATATATTTACTGAGTACATGGGGTCGGTTGTACTCATACTACACTTCTGCACCTTGCATGCAGATTTTGGGAGTGGAGCTGCGGGTGATGTCGGGAGCTGACTCCGAAGATGTTCGTGCATTCCGGATAAAGCTGCCACTTGTCCTTGGTAGTTTTAGATTTTTCTAATCTGTTTATGTACCTTTCAATCAGAACATGTATTTAATTGTACCATCTTTGTAAATTTCAAATTCTTAGAAGCTCATGATTTATTCTATCAGTCCTTGGGTTACTATATAAAAGTTCAGATAATTCTTCACTGTTTTCCAATAAATCTCATTTGGATTGTATTGACTGTTAGTTGGCTTACCTAGCGGGTCGAGTTAGGTATCATCACGACTAGTGATTTTTGGGTCATGACAGACAGTCACACTTTATAGGCTGAAGATTTTTTGCAAACAATACCCATTAATAGGTATATATAAGGCTGTAACTATATCTTTTAAGAGTCAGACTTAGTCATGCTGAAGTTTTTTTGTTCATTTCCTAAAACTTCACACTAAACATGCTGAAGTTTTGTCCAGCAGTCTGCAATTATTATAATGAGTTTTTTCGAAACTTCATAGAAAACATGCTGAAGTTTTTTAGTTCATTTGCTAAAACTTCAACCTAAAAATGCTGAAATTTTGTCCTGCAGTATGTATTTTTCTAATTAGATTTTGTGAAACTTCAGACTTATCCTTTTAGGCTTGAAGTATTACTTTACATATATGAATACTTTATGCAGAAAGGTGTAGTTTTTTTATTATATATATGTGTGTCTTGTGTGTGTGTGTGTGTGTGTGTGTTAAATATATGTATTTCACTTACTTTTTTAGAATGCAGAATGCAACCAAACCTGTAAGTCGCCAACATAAATGAGTGGTTTGTATTTCAAGAAATATATAAACGAGTATTTTTCAATCCAAGAGCTTTTTTTTTATTTCTATGAAAACAATCACATCTCACATATATCGATCAATAATGAAAGTCTAAATTCAAAATATCTATCTTCCTTTAGAATGAATTTTTTCCTCAAGGATTATTGAATGTTGGAGTATTTTTTAGCGTGTTTCTTGGAATATGGATGAGGTGGTGGAGAATACAAGCAAGTTGTTCTGTTGTGCCCAATTTGTTTACAGCGATTGCATTCGGTAGACTTCAATCGTACTGATTCAGTTGTAGAGATATACCTATTCTTTTGTCTTCTTCCTTGTAGAATCTCTACATCAGGAGGTTTTGTGATTTGAGATTCTACATTTTGTGGTATATCCCATGAATTTTGATCTCCTACAATATTGACATGCCTTTCATATGTTTTGAACAATGTTTCCCTTGAATACAATTTTGAGCAGTAATCAGATTTCTGCAAATATCTCTTATTGATAGCAGCAATTGTGTGTGGACATGGCAATTCATAAAGTTGGAATTCCAAGCAGCCACAAGTTCTCTTCTTTAAGTCCACAATGAATTCCATTCCTTCATTATTTATTCTAAACAATATTGAATCAAGGTTGAACACCTAAGAAGAAATAAAAAAAAAATTATATTAGTGTATTATTGCTTCAAAAAGAAAAAGTAAGAAGTTTTTTATATGTTAGTAGTAAATCACTTCAGACATAAAAAGTTGAAGTGATTATGCATGAGTTAATTACTTCAGATAAAACATGATAAAGTAAATTCTAAAGTTAATAAATATACTTACAAATATTTTGCAAGCCAAGTCTATCTTCTTATTCATCTCTTCTTCTGCCCATATTGATACTTTGTGAAAAGTTTCATGTGTTGTTTTCCTCCGTTCATAAAACCACTGTCCCAACTTTTCTTGGATAAAATCTAACATTCTTAAAACATGTATCTCTCTCGCTTTTATTAACACAGAATTCATTGAGTGCTATGAGTGTGGAGAGTTGGGTCATGTGAGGAGATTTTGTCCCCGCCTTACTCGAGGTCCAGTTCAGCAGAGGAGTCAGGCTACTACTTCTGCACCAGTTTCTCCACCACCCGCCCAGCCAGCTCGTGGTGGGGCTCAGTCAGCTAGGGGTCGCCCCAGAGGGTGAGGCCGATCAGGTGGAGGTCAGGCCCGATTCTATGCTTTTCCTGCCAGGCCAGATGTTGTTGCTTTAGACGTAGTGATCACAGGTATTGTCTCAGTGTGCCATAGGGATGCTTCTATATTATTTGACCCTGGTTCCACTTATTCGTATGTATCATCGTACTTTACTCATTATCTGGATATGCCCAGTGAGTCCTTAGTTTCACATGTTTGTGTATCTACGCCGGTGGGCGATACTATTATCGTGGACCGTGTGTATCGATCTTGTGTGTTAACTATCGGGGGACTAGAGACTAGAGTTGATCTCTTACTGCTCAGTATGGTTGATTTCGATGTAATCTTGGGTATGGATTGGTTGTCTCCATGTCATGCTATTCTGAACTGTCACACAAAAATCGTGACGTCGGTGATGCCAGGGTTGCCGAAGGTCTAATGGAGAGGTTTTCTAGATCAGGTTCACAGCAGGGTAATTTCTTATTTGAAAGCCCAATATATGGTTGGGAATGGGTGTTTGTCATATTTGGCTTTTGTGAGAGATGTGGATGCAGATACTCCTACTATTGATTCAGTACTAGTTGTGCGAGACTTTCCTGATGTATTTCCTGCAGACCTGTCGGGTATGCCGAGCGACAGAGATATTGATTTTGGTATTGACTTGGTGCCGGGCACTAAGCCCATTTCTATTCCTCTGTATCGTATGGCATCGTGTGTCATCTTGGTGTGCACCGTTTCTGTTTGTGAAAAATAAAGATGGTATTATGTGGATGTACATCGATTACAGGCAACTGAACAAAGTTACAATCAAGAATAAGTATCCTTTGCCACGTATTGATGATTTATTTGACCAGCTACAGGGAGCGAAGGTATTCTCCAAAATTGAATTGAGATCCGGGTATCACCAGTTAAAAATTCGGGATTCGGATATTCTAAAGACGGCATTCAGGACACGTTATAGTCACTATGAATTTTTTGTGATGTCTTTTGGGCTGACCAACGCCCCATCAACATTTATGCACTTGATGCATATTGTATTCCAGTTGTATCTTGATTCGTTTGTCGTGGTATTTATTGATGATATTCTGGTATACTCATGTAGTCAGGAGGAACATGCACAACACTTGGGTATTGTATTACAGAGGCTGAAAGAGGAGAGACTTTATGCTAAATTCTCTAAGTGTGAGTTTTGGCTTAGTTCGGTGGCATTCTTGGGACACAGAGTGTCCAGTGAAGGGATTAAGGTGGATCCAGAGAAGATAGAGGCAGTTCAGAGTTGGCCCAAACCATCTTCAGTTATTGAGATTCAGAGTTTCTCGGCTAGGCCGGTTATTATCGTCGCTTCGTGGAGGGTTTCTCGTCTATTGCATCGCCTATGACTAAATTGACCCAGAAAGGTGCTCCGTTCAGGTGGTCGGATGAGTGTTAAGAGTGCTTTCAAAAGCTCAAGATAGCTTTGACTACAACTCCAGTTCTAGTTTTGCCTACAGGTTCAGGGTCTTATACTGTGTATTGTGACGCGTCGCGCATTGGTCTCTGCACAGTGTTAATGCAAGACGGTAGGGTGATTGCCTATGCGTCCAGACAGTTAAAGGTACATGAGAAGAATTATTCGGTTCACGACCTTGAGTTAGCAGCTATTGTTCATGCCTTGAAGATTTGACAGCACTATTTGTGCGGTGTCCATTGTGAGGTTTATACTGATCACAGGAGTCTACATCATCTGTTTAAATAGAAGGATCTTAATTTGTAGCAGCGGATGTGGTTGGAGTTGCTTAAGGATTATGATATCACCATTCTCTATCATCCAGGAAAGGCCAATATGGTGGCCGATGCCTTGAGTCGTAAAGCGGAGAGTTTGGGTAGCTTAGAATACTTACCGGTTGCAAAAAGGCCTTTAGCCTTGGATGTTCAGGCCTTGGCCAACCAGTTTGTCAGATTTGATGTTTCCGAGCTGATTCGAGTTTTGGCTTGTGTGGTTTCTTAGTCTTCTCTTTATGATCGTATTAGAGAACGCCCCAATTACAAAATTTAGATTTAGATAAATTAGTTTTCAAGTTAATTAAGATTTTTGGCATTGTAATACCAATAGAAAAAGGGTTGAGAAGAGATATATGACTGTGGTTGGAGGTTGACCGGAGAAATTGGAAGATCGGCGGCACCGGAAGAAATTTTTCGCCCAACATCTGGTGGGATTTTATAGTTTGATTGAGTTTTTCCATGTTATTGCATTTTCATGGGTTTTCAATAGTCAAAGGTGAGAATACAACTGATGATTTTTACAACCTTTGGTTAATTTTCCATCTTAATTTTCTCCCGGGAAGAGGAAGGGGGATAGCCAGCAATGGAGGTTTTGCTGATGGAAAAATAAAAGGAGGAGAGAGGAAAAGTTGGTGAAAGAAAAGGAATAATAAAAGTAAAAGAAAATAGGGCCGCGTCTAATTAAGTGTAAGGACATAATGTCTAATAAATACTTGACTCGTGTACAATTTAATGAGTTTGTAATATTTTTTTGGCTCTTCACTCGCGTTTAAGAAGATTTTTTTTCCTTTGCCATGTCATCATTCAGGGAGATATTAAATTTATTTCGGACAAGTATAGGATGTAAAAGGAACATCCGTAAAGGTTGAATTAGAAACTGACTTTTGGAGACAAGTTCAGGGTGCTACTTATGTATTATCCCTATACTAAAATATGATTATAGTATTGTTTGTGCATTTTTAACCACAAAACGTAACAAACACAATTAATATAGTAATTATTTTGCGTTGGGGTATGTGTTAATGTAATAATTACATTTCTGTGACATTCATGCACCCTTTACACTGGACGTTCAAATTTCCTTTTATGTCTTTTCATATACAATGCAGAAGTTTTTTTCGCCTATATAAGTACGCTATGCCTTGTGAGTTTATTCACTAAAACACATATATTTTCAGTTGATAAAAAACAAAAGAGAAAAAAATGGATGTTGTCATCAGGAAAATCATTGATGAAATAAAATAAGATATCATAGAGGCATTCGAGTTGAAACTCGATGAGTTCATAGACAAGTACGAAAGGGATTTGGAAGAAATCAACACCAAGCTCGACAGGCTAGAGATGTTGGCCAGAGATGGCTCCTATGATAGTCTTGGTGATCCAGTAGCCGCTCGTGGGTCTGACAATGATGAAGATGATGACGACGATGATGGAATGGATATTTATTTTATTTTATTGTATTGTATAATCCTTTTCTTCAAAAGGTTATTATCTTATTTTTAGTTTTAAGTAATTTCTTCATGTAATTTTAATTTCTGTTAATGTAGTTTAATGAAGCATTATATGTTTTTGTTTTAATCTTTTTGTGTGTTATTTTTTTATATTAATTCTTTTCAAACTCAGAAAATAACATAAGGAAAAACATAATTGCAGAAAATAATAAAAAACTTAATAATAATATCTTAATGCATAAAATAAAGAAATGGATATTCGTATGAAATTTATAATAAATATAAAAAACATTAAACATTATATAATTTTTTCCTAAAAGAGTTGAAAATTAGTTATGGATAATTTAATTTTAACATCATATTAGTTATGGATAAAAAACAAAACTTCAGCATGTTTTGGTATGGAGTTTTAGCAAATTAACTAAATAACTTCAGCATGCATTAGCAAAAATTCATAAGAAAATTACATACTGCAGGACAATAACTTAAGCATATTTAGTCTGAAGTTTTAGCAAATGAACTAAAAAACTTCAGCTTGTTTAGACTGAATTTTTGGATAAAACTCATGACAAAACTATAGACTGCAGGACAAAAACTTCAGCATGTTTCGGTATGAAGTTTTAGCAAATGAACTAAATAACATCAGGATGCATTAGTAAAAATTCATTAGAAAATTACATATAGCAGGACAAACTTAAGCATGTTTAGTCTGAAGTTTAGCAAATGAGCTAAAAAATCTTCAGCATAATGTAGACTACATGACAAAACTTCAGCATGTATTGGTATGAAGTATTATCAAATGAACTAAATAACTTGAGCATGCATTATGTCATGGGTTTCTTTCCATCATCGACCCATGACCCCTTGGACGTGCCCCGTGGCATCCCGGCAAGCCTCCCAACGCCTAGCGCCACGGTCGGCCCCGTGGTCTCGGCAACGCCAAGTAACAAGCGTACATGCGCCTCTGTCGCCCCACCGATAATCAGTGCCAGCGCCCAGCGGCTGGCGAATGCCATCAATGCCGCGCGCACCGACAATGTCGCAAGCACAAATCATCATGTTGCCAACAGACAGTGCCCCGCGTGTAGATCCAATGCCAATCACCAGCGCCCAGCCGCTGGCAGATCCAAATAGTGTCGCGCGCTCCAATAGTAATGCACGTGCAGACCCTGATGCTCAAGACAAAGTTGCTGCCATCGGACTTGCTTCCACCTTGTAGAATACTAAGTCCTTTTCATTGTAATTATAGAGTAGTTTTACTTCATTCATTTTCAGTATGCTTCTACAGCTTTCTTAGGTCAACTCATGTAACTTTGATTTATTTTTTTTAAGCATTATTAAGGGAGACCAAAGCATTCAAGCATTCAAACAATTCTATGTATCCCCCCCCCCGACACCGCATTGCATCTTGTAATAGCTTTCATCATCATCAATGCAATCATCAGCTTTCATCATCATTGCTCATTTACGCTGATCAATTGCTCACGACATTAGTTTTCCCGTACAGCTCTGACAATCTAGTCTAGCGTACGGAGGGGACCTCAGTTGACATATAGCAACCGTACTGACATCGGTTGCTTAGCCTTACATCGCCCTTCCAAGGAACTTCAGGAAGGCGCCGCGTAACAGTTGGTATCAGAGCATAAGCTCGACATCGGACGAGGGAACTCATTACCATCATCACCATTTCTGACCATGGTGAATTACGGGGATCACATCACAACCCTTCAAGAGACGGTTGATGAATTATGGCCCATCGTGGATACGTTGCATGATCTAAAAACCAGCGTAGTGCAAAGGTTGGACGACCTGGACCGCAGAATGCGGCAGGCCGAAGTTGACATAGCAAACATCAGTCGCGACTCTGAGGAAGACCGGAAAACGGCTGCCGTCGAGGCAACCGAAATTCATGGAAAATTCGAGGACCTCCAACAGGAGCGTGCCGAGGATTTAGCCCATCGGGAACTAGAGGCAGACAGATTGACCGTCATGCAGCAAACCATAGACAACTTGAAAGGCCAGCTCAATGTTGTCAATGTTGCCCTTCAAAGCCTACTCAAAGGAGGCGAAAACCAAATCAGGGGTGCCATGAACATTGCCCCCATGCCACAAAAGCTGAAAATTCCGGAGCCAAAGCCATACAACGGAGCACGGGATGCTAAAGAAGTGGAAAACTTCATCTTTGACATCGAGCAATACTTCGATACCGTAGGACAATTGGAAGAATCCAAAAAGGTAGCAACTTCTTCCATGTATATTCAAGGCGATGCAAAAACTCTGGTGGCGAGTCAAATACGAAGCCATCAGGGCCGGTGAAGATGCTCTTAACATATGGGCAGAACTGAAGGCAGCCATACGCCTGCAGTTCTTCCCCGAAAATATGGAATACAATGCACAGAGAAAGTTGCGTGAACTCTGCCACACCAGGTCGGTGTGGGACTACATGCGTGAATTCTCCGCACTCATGCTAAACATACGGGATATGGGGGACAAAGACAAACTATTCGCATTCATAGAAGGTTTGAAACCTCATGCTCGTATGGAGCTACAAAGACAAAGGGTGGATACCCTGCCCAAGGCCATTCAAGCTGCAGAGTGCCTTAGGGATTATCAGTTGGAAACTCATAAGGATAGGCCCCAGCCGCCTATCCGAGGGGGATACAACGGGATCCAACCTAGAAATGGTGGTCCTAACAGAAACGGAGGAGATCGAGGTGCATCCAAATCCAAGACTCCTTCTTCAAGCAGTAACAGTGCTGCATCAGTCAACAACAATCAGTGGAGAAAGCCCCCATCAGAATGCCGTCATTGTGGTGGGGAACATTGGAACAATCAATGTCCCAATACACTGATCAATGCTCAACAGATTGTTGAAAATGAGTCAGATACCGATGACTCAGACGACCCCGAACAAGTAGGTACCTTCAACACATTTGTTGGCTCCATTCAAGATACCTTGGCGGGAACCGGTGCCGATAACCCCAAGAGGAATGCATGCCCAATCGTCAAGAAAGGGAAAGGAAAGGCGGACGAGAGGCCTCCCACATCACAAAAGAGGACCTTAATATTCGTTGATATGAAAGTAAACGGCAGACGTATTCGGGCATTGATAGACATGGGTGCTAGCCACAACTACCTGGCCTCAACTCAGGTGCAGCGCCTCGGTCTAGCAGCGCAAAAATGCAAGGGTCGTGTCAAGGCTATCAACTCTCCATCTCAGCCAATGAGTGGAATAGCCAAAGAAGTGCCAATGAAGCTTGTCCCATACAAGGGAATATTTGACCTGCGCATAGCTATCATCGATGACTTCGAACTAATAGTGGGATTGGAATTCCTCAGGCAGACCAACACCATCCCGGTACCATATGCCAACATGCTCCTAATGATGGGAGACAACGGGGCCAAACCCTGCACTATACCGTGCATACCCATGAAGATGGCTGCTGGAAACATCACGGCCATGCAGTTAAAGGAGAGAACCAATAGACCTGAACCTACGGTTCCGGCTGCCCTTAACATTATCAAACAAACATCACATCTTCGGAGTCTAACAGCTCATGGCGCCCCTCATTGTGTGAAGACTTGTCAAGCATTCCAAAAGGACAAGTCGGATCACTCAGCACAAGCGGGACTCTTGGAGCCGCTACCTGTCCCACAGAGACCTTGGGAAAGCATTTCCCTGAATTTCATCACAGGATTACCCAAGGTCGGAAATGATGCAACCATCATGGTGGTAGTAGACTAATTTTCCAAGTATGCTGCCTTCATCGTAGCCCCATAGAACATATCGGTAGAAGATACAGCTCGACTCTTCTTCTCTCATGTTGTCAAATATTGGGGCATGCCCAACAACATCATTAGTGACTGCGACCCACACTTCACTAGCAAATTTTGGACCCAACTCTTTAGTTGCCTCAGATACAAATTGAGCCATAACTCAAACTTCCATCAACAAGCAAATGGCCAGCCAGACCGGTTCCATGATATGCTGGAGGAATATCTCCGCCAATTTGCAACCGGGTCACAAACACATTGGGTTAAGCTTCTGGATGCTGCTCAGTTGTGTTTCAATTCATAAAAGTGCGCCCATACAAACATAAGCGCTTTTGAAATTGTTACCAGACAAAAACCGCTACTCCCACATAATATGAATGCACCAAACATGCCAACATCTCCTCGAGCTGCCAGTTTCTCGACAGAATGGGAGAAAACTTTGAAGATGGTGCGGAGCTATCTTGTCAAAGCCCAAGAGAGGGCAACGAGGTATGCCAAACAAAACCTTCGCTTTACCCTACATCAAGCAGGGGACAAAGTGAGAACCCCGAAGCAGAACTTGTTTGCAAAGAGGACCCAAGATCCTCGCCTATTGCAAAAATACATTAGACCCCTTTCCATTGAAAGGCGTATCGGGAAATCCACATACCAGCTGAACACACCAGCCTGGTGGAAAATCTATCCATTCCACGTCAGCTGCCTTCGAGCATTTCAGAAATACATGGAAGATCATTTAGAAAGCCACCCCACAACACCGAGGGAAACAGATCTCCCAGCCAACAAGAGCGTGACCAATCATCATCATCCGGCAGGTAAGGCTCCGAGGACGTCGCCAACTCAGGTGGGGGATAATGTCATGGGCTGCTTTCCATCATCGACCCATGACCCCTTGGACGCGTCCCGTGTCATCCCGGCAAGCCTCCCAATGCCTAGCACCACGGTCGGCCCCGTGGTCTCAGCAGCACCAAGTGACAAGCGCGCATGCGCCTCTGTCACCCCACCGATAATCAGTGCCAGCACCCAGCGGCTGGCGAATGCCATCAGTGCCGCGCGCACCGACAATGCCGCACGCACAAATCATCATGTTGCCAATAGCACCGCACGCACAGAAAGTGCACCGCTGCAGATCTAATGCCAAGCACCAGCGCCCAGCCGCTTACAGATCCAAATAGTGCCGCGCGCGCCAACAGAAATGCGCGCGCAGACCCTGATGCTCAAGACAAAGTTGCTGCCATCGGACTTGTTTCCACCTTGTAGAAGTCTAAGTCCTTTTCATTGTAATTATAGAGTAGTTTTACTTCATTCATTTTCAGCGTGCTTCTACAGCTTTCTTAGGTCAACTCATGTAACTTTGGTTTATTTTTTTTAAGTATTATTAAGGGGGACCAAAGCATTCAAATAATTCTCTGTACTGGTGTCTCTCCCCCCCGGCACCGCATTGCATCTTGTAATAGCTTTCATCATCATCAATACAATCATCAGCTTTCATCATCATTGCTCATTTTTGCTGCTCAATTGCTCACGACATTGGTTTTCCCGTACGGCACTGACAATCTAGTCTAGCATACGGAGGGGACCTCAGTTGGCGCATAGCAACCGCACTGACATCGGTTGCTTAGCCTTACGTCGCCCTTTCAAGGAATTTCAAGAAGGCGCCGCGTAACAATTAGCATGGAGTTTTAGCTTCAACGTGAAACAACTTCATGTTACATTAGCATGAAGTTGTAGCTTTAACATGAAACAACTTCATGCTACATTAGCATGAAGTTTTAGCTTGTATTTGATTAAAACTTCAGACTTCAACGTGAAATAACTTTATTCTATATCTTTCATGCATTAAATTTAAAGTTTTGAAAAGTTTTTGAAGATTTATAAGTGAAAACTTCATGCTATATCCGTCAAACAATTCCATGCAAGTGTGATTTGTAAATGGTCATAAGTAAAAATATTTATAGGCGTTAATTGAATTCAGATTTTATTTTTTAAGTTCAAAAGTTAAAAGGCATGACGAATTACGAACATAATTGCAGAAACATATATCATGAAGCTCAATCAGTTTCACAAACTAATGCGAATTCTAAAGATGAACTGCAATACTTACAATGTATTTTGTAGTTTTGAATTCAGAATATAAATTTGGTTCAAGTTTTTTGTTTTTTGATAAAGCTACTGAGAGGAGAGGAGATCTTTGACCAGGGTTGACGGAGATCTTTTGAGGAGGGACGGAGTGATGGAGGGGATC